TCCAGCGGTTGGAGGATTCGGACTCGTCTGTTCGCCGGGCGGTGGTTTATACGATGGGAGAACTGGCTAAGAACGGTGTGTACATTCCAAGGAGCGGTCGAACACACCTGACATGTAGTATCAGCCGATCTGGTTGGTCGGATTGGGAATGCGATTCCCCAGCTCATCCAGCGGTTGGACGATTCGGACTCGTCTGTTCGCCGGGCAGTGGTTCGTACGATGGGAGAACTGGCTAAGAGCGGTGTGTACATCCCAAGGAGCGGTCGAACGCAGCTCAATTGTGATCACAGCAGATTTTGATATCAATGGGAACGTGATTTCTCAGCTCATCCGACAGTTGGATGATTCGGACTCAGAAATCTATGCTGCAACCATAAATTCATTGACAACCCTCATTACTATTGGTTGGTCCTACTCACCGTCAGTCTCGTAGGATTTCTCATCTAGTCTATAGATCGATTCTCTCAAACCATTTATCCTCTCCTCTTCAACTCTCTCCAAGGCAAGACTTCCCAAGTTCGCGCCGCTGCAGCTAAGGTTCTTTCCATCGGGCTACCTCTTGGTTAGTTGCTGTTTTATTGATACCTTCTTGCTAATTTCCTGTAGGTCATATACATGATAATGCCGCACCAATCCAATTGGTATCTGTTCTGGGGCGTCTTATTCATGATCGGGACCACCGCGTCGTTGAGCCAGCTACAAGCATTTTCATTTATCTCGCCAATACTGGTAGGGCTAGATTTTTCGTCGCGTTACTCTCCTGATCTCTCTCCAGGTCTGATATCCGAGTTAATAGTTCCAGTCATTCAAGAGACTGTACTCGCTTTGACCAGCCGGGATCCCAGTGAACGAAACCGTGGTGCCTATATTTCTCTCGAGCTGTTGAAGCATGGTATGTGATCATAAAGAGAATGGCCAAGCACTCTGACCGACACGAACCAGCCTCACTCCGAAGTCTGTTACTCCCAATGATGGCATGGCACAGATGCCTCACGCTTAT